GCTAGTCACATCTACTATTACATCTCAAGTTACTTCATCAATTAATCGATTTGTGGTCTCTTAAGTCTGATTTTTTATTCCTCCGTTTGTTTGAGGCGTTGAATCACTGTAAGTAAGGTATTAATCTGGTAATTGATTTCTATTTCTTTTATTTTTTTTCTATTTCGCATGTTATTTTTGCATTCATTAAATTAATTACTTTATGTGAATCTTTTTGTCAATTCTGAACATCGATATCTTGTAGGAGGAAGGGGTGTATACCTCTAATTTTTGAATTTTGAATACCCTCAAGTTTGAGGGATTTTTATTCATGTTCCCAAGTTTCTTTTTTAAAAAAAATTAGTGTATGAGATTTAATCAAATTTAAAAGGTGATGTCTTTTTGATGTGTATATAATTTTTGGTTCAGAATATAGTAATCGATAAAAGAAGAAAAATGTTGATTTTGTGATGAATCAACAATCTATATACCTAAGATTTTTTGTAGACTTTTGACTCTTTGTTGTAATTATAGATCCCACAAAGTTATCAATGTAGCTTTGGTGAATCATTGAATTTTTTATAATCTTTAGTTAGAGATATGAGATCTTTTGGGGGGAATATAATAACTAATAAGAAATTATTCATGGGTTGAAGATTCGAGAATAAAGAATAAATTGATTTAAAAAAGTGTTTTATCTATTCATATACTTATTTGGTGTGAATTTAAATTATATAAGCTAATGAATGGGAATATAATAAAGATTATAGTGTCTCTGTGTTCAATGTTCCTTTTTCATACGCTTGGTTAGTGCATATTTCTTTTTCATCCTGCTTAGTTTTTATTCTCTCATTTTCCTTTCAGTTTAATCTTTTTTGTGAGATTATTTTCTACTCTCAATTGCCTCCTCTCCAGGCCTCAGCTGAATTTGCATCTTGTGCGATCTATACCAATGATAATTACTTAGATCATACAATTTCACTATTTTAATAATTATTATTAAACTAGGGATAAGACACAAGTACCCCCTAGACTATGACTGAAATCTCAGATACACACTTAAACTTACTAGGGTCCTATTACCCTGCTGAACTAATTTAAAATCGAATAAATACACCACAAACACTGACATGACATAACTAGTGTGCACACTCTCTTGTAGGCAAATGATAAGTGCACAAATTGGATAAATGTCATTTTTTGATTGATGACTTTATAATTAGTTAGTACACATATTTATTGATATTAAAACTTATACATATTCATTTTTTTTTCTTTGTAAAATATTTATTTTAATTTCTTTCTTTTAAGCTTTTTTTTATTTAATTTATCATCTTTTCACATTTAATTATTTTTTAAAATATAATTTAAAAGTGTCTTTCAATTTTTACGTTTTATTTGATTTTCCAAACTAACATATTTTAAATACAAGATATTTGGAATTTAATTTGAAATCAAACCAAAATGAAAGATAAAGAAAATAAAATCAATTGAAAAACAAAAGAGAAAAACAATGAATGAAGGTAAGAAAAAAAAGTTTCGACACTAGGTAAAAAAAATGTGTATTAAATTAATTTAAATACAAGATAAAGAAACTAAGAAATTTAAAAAAAAAAAAGATAAAAAAAAATAAAAAATAATATTTACACACGTGACAGCGCAAGCGTGTACAAACACAGCCAAGTTGGATGGTTGAAGGTGCCACGTCAACACAAAAGGTGCACAAAAATATGAAAAAATGAGTTTGGGGGGGGGGGGGTAATAGGACTCTAGTTAAATTTAGGTCTGTCTCTGAGATTTCAGTCATAGTTTAGGAATGGTACTTATGTCTTATCCATTAAACTATTTTGTTCATTTAAGCTTATCTTATATCAATAATAATGACATTATATGCTGAAAGTTCTCTGTATATTTTGTAGGTGTCAATGGTAGTAAATGGTAATAGAAATAGAGTGATTTTGTAGATTCAAAATCACTAACTATAGTCCATACAATAAAATAATAACTAGTACCACTTTTCAACTACAACTGATTACTCCATCTATTTTGCAAGCTAGGTTTAACTCTTCTTCAATCTCTCCTGCTCTAATAAACCTCCACCAGAATAATTCTTCTCCACTTTATGCTTAAATTTGGAACCTAACATTACCATAATATTCACTCTTTATACTTTTTGGATATATGTTTGTTGGTCAAATTTAATCTAGCGGTCTATGAAGTTGGTGAAATTATGAAAATCAAGGCTAGTATCTCAAGAGAAACAAAACACATTGTGTATTTTTTTTCTCATTTGCTTGACTCTTGATTGAATGAGTTATAATATAAGTGTATTTGAATCTTAGTGTTTTCTATGTCACATCTCCTATACAATTCAATTGATACAAATCTTAAATTGGGATATAAATCAAAGATGAAGAATAACAATGACATGGGCGAGACAAAAAAAGGTTTGAATGATGTTGAAAATGAGAGCAAGTTTATTGATGACAAATTAGAAGATGGTGCAGTTGGAGATGAACGGGATCTGCATGATAAATTGTCAGAAAGAAGGAAATACGATAGGCCTGATTCTAATAAAGTTCAGGAACTTGTTGCCTATGTATCATTCCAATCTTTTGTATTTTTTTAAAAATTTGTTCATATTAATTTCATTTTTGATAATTTGTTTGTCCCTTTGGTAGCAGCGCTTTCAAAGATAATCCACATCCCGACGAAAATGCAATACTGAAACTTGGAAAGAAATTGTCCGTGGACAAAAATCAAGTCAAATTTTGGTTTCAGAATAGAAGAAACCAAGCGAAGGTGATGCATTATATTGCATTTTTTCAGGGTGTGGATTTTCTTTAAAACCACTGCTACCATAGGGACAAATCAATGATAAAAATTGAAACTAATACAACCAAATTTTAGAAAAATTCAAAATATTGAAGAGATACTTACGTTTCAAGCTCTTGAACTTGGTTAGCATTGTATTTTTTTCTTATTGATGATTTATCATGCAGAGAATCTAGTTCATATCCAATAGCACTACCTTTTAATTTGCCACTAATAAACTTGCTCTCATTTTAAACATTTATTCAAACTTTTCTCACCCATGTCTTTGTAATCCTTCATCTTCATCATGGATTGAGGGTTGTGGTTTGTGGTCAGTGATTGTGTCTCAGTAAAGTGAAGCACGGACGGACAACATGGTCCGTAGAGTTGATTCGACAGTTAATTCTCAGGGTTAATTGAGTATTTTCCTACTCTTTTAATTTTTATACTACATTATTTTTAGCCTATTTTGAGGAACTATAACCATTTCTAAGACTCATATGTTGAACAAAATAAAATTGAGCAAGTAGCTAAGAGACTCTGCTGGAAAAAAGTTTGTTGAGAAGGATGATATCGCAATATATATGGCAGAAGCCGTTCAATCATATGAAGTGTCTGAATTTCGAAAGACAAACAAAAATACCACCGATGTTTCCTGCCCAAGATCCTGTTATTGCCTGGTTCGTGCTCCTTTTGATTTATCGTCACATTTGGTATTATCCTATAATCCGAATTCTATTAGCATTGATTATTTCACGTTGATTTGATATTTGAAACTTTCCCTTGCCAGAAGTTGCAAATGAAAAAGAGGTGGCCGGTGGACAATTGGAGAAGTGGCCAAAAAGATTACACGCAATACCACCTAGGATAAGCAGGGGAACTGTAGATGGTGTCACGGAAGATGTTTTCCAGAAGGATTCAGAGCTATGGAAAAGAAGAGTTTCTTATTACAAGTCAGTGAATAACCAGCTTGGCCAGCCTGCGCGATACAGAAACATCTTAGATATGAATGCATTCCTAGGTGGCTTTGCTACAAATTTGGTCAATGATCCTGTTTGGGTGATGAATATAGTTCCCGTTGAGGCTAAGGTCAATACACTTGGTGCCATTTATGAACGAGAACTAATCGGGACATACCAGAGCTGGTAATTACTATGCTTCCTTCACACTTCCCCCCCCCTAACCCCAGTAAATAGCAGCATTATGATTTTAGGTCGACTATAGCTATGTGAAAAACTAGTACTATTGACAGAGTTAGATTTACATTTCAGCACATATACTCTGAATTCAGAACTCATATTGTCTAAATTCTGGATCTACCTACCCCTGTAGTTTTGCTTTTGTGATGAATATTAACTTTTTTCTATAGGTGTGAGGCTATGTCAACTTACCCAAGAACATATGATCTCATTCATGCTGATTCTGTATTTACCCTCTACGAAAATAGGTAAATTATGAGTATCCTTATAACTGAAATATGTGCTTTTGAGTATCCTTATAACTGCATTGCTGCAAAGCCAAGTGATTGAATCTCAGGGTCAGCCACAGACATGCTTGGCATCACTTGGGAACCTGAACGTCTGCTCCCCATTTGTATTACCAGAAACATCGAATATGACTCCTAGCACAGAGTGTTGTGCTGCCCTCCAATCACTGGATCATGAGTGCATCTGCAACACTGTTCGTGTTGCTACCCGCCTTCCCTCTAACTGCAACCTTTCTCCCGTCTCTTGTGCTCGTCATCACTAACTAGTCATTTTAGCATATTGAATTTGTTCCAAAGAAGTATTTGTTCCTTTTTTTTTCCAATTAGTGGAGTGTTAGTTTCAACAAATAATCATATGTTAGAAAAATTAGGATTTTTTGGTGGTGTGATTTTTCTGTTAGTATACTCAAAGTCCTGGCAACACAACGATGTTTTTGTTGATTTTTCTGCTATTTCTCTCAGGACTGAGAGGTACTTGATATGTGAGTTGAGAAATAACAGAAGGAAACCGCGAGATAGATGAAACATTATGTATTCTATTAAATTAAGATGAACTAAATCTAACTGTCTAGTAGTATATAGTAGAAAGAACAAAAAAGTGCTAAAACGAATAATAAACTAGTGTACTTGCGAGTAGATGAATAAGACTAGTGTGCAACCATATACACGTGATAAGCCTCCATCCTTAATGATGATAGACCAATTTATTCCAATCAAGAGCACCAAGCCTCTCTAACCTTCATAAATTACCAAATGCATTCTTTTTAAAGACTCATTTCCTCATTATAATACATATTATGTGAGGTAGAATGTTTTAAACTTCCAATAAGCTAGAATTGCCACAGATTCATACTTATTTCTAGTGAACCAAGAAAAAAAACAAGTAACTGAGTTCACACGGTGACAAAATATGGTTAGGTGGTCTGGCCCTTTTCCAGACTCGTGCATAGGGGGTGTTTAGTGCACTGGTTGCGATCCATACCATTTTATGTAAACATATTACTATTTGGGGAGTCAAACAAATTTTTTCTTTGACAACAATATTTTCAAACATCCTTTAAACATTTTGAATCATTAGCTATGTTAAATAGCCTATGCTCGATTTGAACTACTTTTCATAGAGTTTTCAAATATATAGATTTTATTTTATAATATTGAACATTGTTACATAAATTGGAAGAGGGATGTAGAAGTACTTACATTGAAGAAGAATTGCCAAAGAGAGGACACCTTTGGAGCTCTTTTGGAAAATCATCTTCTACATCAGTTTGTTAATTTTTTTTTGTGTTGTTTAAATGTTGACACCTTCTTTTGTTTCTTCTCCTCAACAAGTTGAGTCCAGTACATGAAAGTGTGGATTGATAGCAAAACTTTTTCTGTGGAGTCTTCAAATATTGTAGTTCTGGCTCATTATCTTGTGGTTGTTGGGGTTGGATCGATAGTAAACTTCCAAGTCATGTATCATTGATGATTCCCAATCGAAAGATTGAATTATATTCAATTCGGAATGAAAGAAACCGATTGAAGAAGATCTTGAAGGAAATGGGTGGCATTGAAATTCATAAACCAAACATTGGTTCCAACTCGAATAATATGATTGTTTTTTAACGTTCAAATTTGGAGGATAAAGTTTCAAACTTGGAGTTGGAGCACCGTATTGAAAGTTCTAATTTGAAGAACTTGGATGAAAGTGTATCAATTGATAAGCTTGCTTCTGATCTCTTGGGGGATTATTGTTGGTTTTGTAGCTGCCAAGTTGATGTAGTGTATTGTAGCTATGTTAGAACTTCTTTTCTTGAATCGTTTGAAATGTGGTGTAGTCGCTAGTAGTTTGGTGTAGCTCCGTTCTAGTAGTGTGGTGTAGTCATTAGTAGTTTGATGTAATGATAGCAATCTGCAGGTTACTTCTGATGTAATGTCATCTTGTGTTGCTTGTTGAAAGTTGTTAGCAATCTTGTTGATCTCTTGATTGTAATGGAAAAGTTAGCAATCTTGTTCATGTTACCAATATGCATTTTTACCATTTAACAATCTGCACATTTACATTATGCATTTTTACCATTTAACAATTTGCATTTTTAACATTTACAATCTGCATTTTTACCATTTAGAAATCTGCATTTTTACCATTTACAATCTGCATTTTAATCATTTAGCAAACTGCACTTTTACCATTTACAACCAGCACTTTTTCATTTTTTACATTATGCACTTTTACCATTTACAATCAACACTTTTCCATTTTTTACATTCTGCACTTTTTAGCACAATTTATAACAATCTGCAATGTTATAAAGCAACACACAAGACACCTCATTTACAATTCTGCACTTTCCAAACATCATTTACAATCTACTTTGCAACTCACAAGATCTTTCAAGCCTACCGTCAAGACATCTTCCCAGATAAAGCAACATACATAATGCAACTAGGAAAACAAAAACAACAACTACATAGATAAGTAGTAATGACATTGTCATATATTTTGAACCCAACAAAAACTTACGGTCACTTGTTCAAGACGGATTAACATCGAAAAAGTAAAATATTAAGTTTCATCATGCCATTGCATAACATTGGAAAACAAAAAACAATAACTACATAATGCTACTTCTTCCCACCCCCATTTGCCTTCAATTTGCCAATTCTTTTCTCCTTTTCAACTGTCAATTGATCTGAAGTTGTAGCTTCTTTTCCTCTCTTTGCCTTCAATTTTTCAATTCTCGTCTCCTTTTCAACTGTAATGAGTGTTTTATTTGGATGGGTTGGGTATTTTGAACGGATGGGTCGGTGGATCCGGGTGGTTTGGGTCAAACAAATTAGATTTCCAACCAATTACAACATGCCACGTAATAAATGAAATAATTAAATTATATGGATTAAGTAGTCCGTTAGTCAAAATAGCAAAATAGGTCCCTAAAGGTTAACCCAAAGGATATTTTGAGGCCAAAAGGTTAAAGAGGGGTATTTTTGTACCAATTCTGATACTATAAGGATATTTTAGACCCTTCTCCGTTTAATAATAGTCAAAATTCAAATATTTGTTTATATAAAAAAATAAAAGTAGGAAAAACTTATAAATTTCCATTTGATCATTTTTTCTCGGTAAACTTTTCAAAGATTAATATAGTAAACTTGTAATTCTGTTTAGGGTAAAGCTACAAGTACCGTATTAGACTATGACCGAAATCTCAGAGACACAATTTAACAAAACTAAGGTCATATTACCCCTGAACCCATTTTTTTGTAATTTTGTGCACCTTTTTGGCTTAGGTGGCATCCAAATATCTCTCACACGCCTCAATTGCGTGGAGTCACGGAGTGTGCCACGTAAGACAAAAGGTGTACAAAATTACAAAAAAATAAGTTTGGGGATAATAGGACCTTAGTTTAGTTAAAGTTAAACTCTAGGATTTCGTTCATAGTCTAGGGGGTGTTCCTTAAAGGGTGGCAAGCTAGGCTTAAGCTATCTACGACCCCTTAAAGTTGTCCGCATAATTCACTTACACATCTTAACTTAGACTAATACCTATTGAACACTTTAACTACACTAAAATCTCACTAAATTAATATAGGTGACCACTAAATATTATTATTTTGTAAAAATATTATTTAATCGATAAATTAATATTTACTAATTTTAAGAGTGTTTTGAGATTCAATGAATGTTAATTTTGATTCCATCAAAATTGTTGTATCTTACTAATTTATGTATCATATTAATTGATTTCGCACAAAAAATAAATTTATTATATGTGAAGTACAATGAATACATCAAAATTATAATATCTTACTAAATTATGTGTCATATTTATTGAATTTACATAAATTCATTATACATAAACTATAATGTATGTATATCCCTTCATTGTAATATGTATTTTTGTTAAGTATTTCATTGTAAAATAAATTCAAAAATCTATGATTAATGATCTCGATTGGCTAGTGCAATAAAATAGACGCCAATAACCTATTGAATTACCATAGTGATAATGATACATGTTCAAAGGTCCAGATCTTAGAAGAAATTGTGCATACCATCGGAAAAAATAATATTGATGATGAAGTTGAAGATGATACAATACCTTTGGAACTAGTTACGTGTAGGAAAACACTTACCGCATCTAGAACTCTTTACTATTTTATGATTTAGTTCAAAAAGATAAAATCGAAATGTTTGGATGCAATAAGAAAAGTTAGATATGAGACTCAACTAGATTTAAGTTTTAAACAAAAACATAAACACAATAAAATCATATTTTACTAAATTGTCTTAGATATATTTGTACTTTTAAAGAATTATTAATTTATCATATTAATGGGACCATATATTTATATATGGGTCTTCTAAAAATACATTATCTTATTATCTTATCGAACTGAATGATTTTTATCCATTGGCCCAAGTCGGGACCAGAGAAAAAATATTATCTTAAAGAGATTATTATTTTGTCGAGTATTAATTTAGTGAGGTTTTACCGTATTCAAAAATTGTTCCTATTAGACATTTTCTGATAATCAACAAAAATAAAATAAAAATGAAGAGTGTGTGATACACTTGCACTGACATGGCAAAATGACTAATTAAAATTTAACACATGGTATGGGCAACAAAAATTAATAAAAAATATTTTTTTGTATAAAATTATTTCAAACACATTTTATATCTAATTTTTTTTATAAAAAAAATGAAAATGTCAACATATTCTACCCAACCTCACCCCTACCTGACCCCTTCCAACCCACTTACATCACCTTCTTCCCAAAACACATTCTTTCCGACACAAAATCCAATTTCTTTTCAAATAACTTGCAGATTTTTTTTAAATATAATGCTAGATATGTCAATTCTATCAAACTTTCAAATATCATTTTGATGAATTTAGTGATTTGTTCGAAAATGATGATAGACAGACATTGACTGACTTGTTTTCATCGAATGCATAAAAATAATTTATCTTATTTCTTTGTTCTTCTTTCTTCATACATTCAATTAGTTGATTCAGATTTGATAGAAAAAAAAAAAAATTAAAAAGAGAGGAGAGAAACACAGTGTTGAAGATAAAATGGAGAAAGCTTTGGAAACTAAATTAAGATGAAGAAGATAATTAGTGCGGGTATTATAGT